TTCCCCCGGAGGAGCTGGAGGAAGTGTCTGGAGAGAGGGAGGTCTGGGCATCTTTGCTTAGACTGCTGCCCCCGCGACCCGGCCCCGGATAAGCGGAAGAAAATGGATGGATGGATGGATGGATACTAAACAGGTGAATGATAAATCTAAATCTTTGCACCAGTTTCACTCGGATTGTCTCATTTTTCTAAAAAGGTTCTGCCATCACTTTCTACTCATTTTAACTAAACCTTTACCAGCTGTTGTTTGAAATTAGTGTTTATTTTAAAAAATGTATAACCCCTCCACTCCCATACTGGATCCACACACATAGCTGATCAGAGTTTAGATTGAAGTCCTTACCGCTGCTGGTTGTGGCAGCTGTATTTTGTCTCCCACTGGACTGGGCAGGAGGAAAATTGAAACCGCAACCAGGCGTTTATGGTCTTGTCAGAGTGAGATAGGGCTCCCCTGCCCTGTGAACCCCGACAGCCAACCTCCATCACTCTCAGTATCCTCCATGTTACTCTCAGCAGCGTCCTCTTTAAAATGAAAGCAGACATGAAAAACAGATATCGGGGAGCTTCAGGTCAGAGAAAACAGGGAGGTAGACACTTCTAACTTTCTACACACCTGGCCCTGCTTTTTCTTAGGGCAGGTTCAAAGTGATTGTAAAGCAGATTATTTAGACCACATCATTTAACTAGGGTTCAGACAAAAGACATTCACTGCAGCTGAGAGCTGAGATGTCTGTGAACAAACACAGACTGAAAAAACTCCTGTAGTTGTGTTCATTAGAATAGGTTGAACTGAAGAGTTCAGTGTGAACGCATAACACGTCAACTGATCTTTCCACAGTAAACCTGCCACTGGCAGCAGCTGTTTGCAAATTAACAATGCACTACCATTGTGCATGTATTATTTCTAAATAATTATAGACATTTTTGGCATTTTCCTGTTTTAGGTCCAGTATTTCGGTCACAGCCTAATCATTTATTTATCTAAACTTTTTCAGTTCTTTGGTTTTAGTGCAACTAGTTAAAATAGTAACTGCAAACCTTTTTTTTAAATTTCAGGATTAACAGTCATATTGATTTGTTTCTTAGCACCTGGATCTGGATGGAGTCTGGATCACTTTCAGGGGTCTGCTGAGCATGAAAGCCATAATAGATTCCTCCTGAAGCCTTGTTTACAGTTCCTGCCCGTCCACCGCTCGCTCCCCTTCAGCCACATTCCCACTCCCCTGCTCTCCATCCGCCCACCAGATGTCCTCGGACTTTCTTTCTTTTCCCAGATCCTCCTACACGCCTGTTCTCCATTTCCTATAACAGACCTGCTCCGCCTACCCGCACACCTCCTGCTTCTATAGCAGCTCAGGTTCCCCAGTTTTCATCTTGCCAACCTGCCTTGCCTGTTACTGGTCTTGCTTTTTGTTTGTTCCTGTTGCCTGTCTCCTGCCCTGTCTCAAACATTTTATTTGCCAGCGGTTGTTGGTGTGATCCTTGTTGACTGAGGGTATGGTACACATTGTTATTGACATCTGGCTGCTACTCAGACACTATTTTCTAGCACCGTGGCAAAACACCAGTAGTAGTAACGACTGAAATAATATCACAGTAGAACTACTAATGCGGTCACAGTTAAAACTGTTAATTACCTCCAGATAACATGACAATTCAGTGATGTTCTGTCGTTCTCAGCTTTTACATCTACAAAATATCATCTGATGGTATCATTCCAGTCAGCTAACAGAGATAATTACCAATTTCCAGCAAATTCATCGGCTCATTTAATGGGTAGCCCTGGATTACTTGCATTGATGTACACATTAAGACACACCCTACAGTCAGTCAGGATGTTAATGGTCACTGGGTAGATGACTGCCTCCTGCAGTAAGGGGGAGAGATTCAGTGTTTACAAGGTCTGTGACATTCTCATACAGACTGGCAGCTATTTCCATCAGCATCACTGCAATAAAAGTACATCAGTGTGGTTGCTGTGAGTAAATTGAACATCATTTTTTTACTGTCCTGACATGCTGTTCTGTGTGTACTCACTGTTTCAGTCCCTGCTCACAGAGAAGCGATGGTAAGTGGCAGGAGACAAACTGTGGACTCAGAGGAGTGCGCTCACTGTTCACCTCAAGGGAACCCAGCCTGAATGACACATGACCACAGCGATGACAGCCACAGGAAGGTCAGATGTTCATCCACATAAAAATAAACTACTGTCAGATTAAACTGTTGCGCTCACCACTGTTACATAACAGCTAGCAACAACAGCCCTTGTCCTGCAGACACTGATGAATGGCATAATTACAGAGGATGAACTGGATAAAAGTCCTCATCTCATGATTAATTGAAAATGTATTCTCTGCTCCACCCTTCCAGCAAAGTTACTGTCCAACCTCTAAAGACATACTTTAGTTTAGTTGTACGTAGCCACATCAGTGCACTAGATGAAAAGTCAGTTCATCATCTGGGAGCCATGAAAATCTATATAATTTTATGCCAATCCATCTAATTGATGTTGAGATATTTCACTGGATAATTGGAGAAACTTTGACCTGCTGACTTGATTAACTTCCTTCAAGTCTTCACTATAGATATGAATTGGTCCAACTTGACTGGTTGGCGGAGGCTTACAACCACCAGGAAGCAATTCTAGTTTAAACTTTTATTGATGGAGATTTTAGGACTTAATACGTAAAGGGACTTGCATTGCAGATTTGTGTGTATGAGATTAAAGGAGGGTTCTCATTTCAGCCTCATAAGATCTAATCACTTGCCCCAGTCAATGCATGTGAGAGGAGTGTGGGTCAGAGTTAGCAAGTGTCGAAGCCTAGCGCGTGATCTAGACCTGTTATCTCTGTGTTATACTGACTCAACTGATAGAAAACCTTCATGTACTGATGTGGGTCAGTGTGATGTCTGTGTGTGTTGAGACCAGGGGAACCTCACTGTGTGAATGAGCAGGGTGGCACTGACTGTGCAAACCGCAGCTCCTCCGGCTCACCATTTGTGATAATGAAATTTTCCGGGAGCAGACTTTGTCTCTCTGACACATTGAGGGGAAGCTGTGAAAAGCCCATCTTCCCTGTGAGGATGTCTGAGGAGAGAAAAGCAGCAGAAACAAATGTGTTTCATCAGGGAAAAGACAGCCTGGACAGCCTATTCAAAACAATTCCATTTGCCAGAGGTTTCCATTATCACATCTATAATGGAGGACATTGGGAGGGGAGGGAAGATCACAATATAAATTTCTTCTAAAGCAAAACTACAGGAAGCGGTAGACATATTCTGCAAAAATATTGACCTTTACCAGGAGAGCAGAGGCAGTTTTGGTCACCAATTTTTAGTTTCATACTTTCCCTGATTGTAATTAGAGTTTGTGTTCAGTGTCAGGACAGGTATCTCCTCTCACAACATGATTTACATCTGTCCATGGATACACCTTAATGTAGGTTCTTTAGATTCTGTACTGATTTACACTAATGCACAGTGTACAATATGTATTTACAGTATATGCATTTATATTGGCCTCTATTTTATTTTAGGCTCTGTTTATTGTATTTCTTTTTTTAATCTATTATCTTTTTTTGCCTTAGTCTATGCTTTTGTGTGTAGTTTAGCCTTTAGTTATGTAAGTCTTTATATACCATGTTTGTTTCGGTGAATTTGCCAATTGGCAGCTGTGACACTGCAGTTTCCTTTTGGGATGAATAAAGTATTCTGTCTGTCTGCACATTTGTAAAGCAGTCATTTGCTTTTGCTTTCACTTGTTGGTAGAAAAATGAGTCAGAATTAGATTTGACACCTGTTGATATTGGGCAGAAAATTGTCTCTCAACAAGAAGGAGAAATGAGGTTACCATGTCAAACTGATCGAAATCAGTGAACATGCAATCCATTTAAAACTGAATTGACTGGTAGCGTCAGGGAAACCCCCGACATGTTTCTGGGACACAGCAGAGGAAAGGAGATGGACTGCTTAATGATTCATGACGGTGGCAACTACAGAGCCAGGGTGACTTTGCTGAATGGGCTGAGACAGGCCCCCTCGCAGTCCACAAGGGCAAGGCATTAATCTGGTATTGATCACAGTGGCACTGCTATCAGCTGAGACAAGCCAGAGAGTCGCAGTCACTCACTCGTTAAGAGGCAGAGAGAGACATGAATGGTCATAGCTACACTAAACTGGCTGTGAGCAGTTTAAACTATGAGCAGAATTTAGATTATTACACCATCTTTCACTTTGGCTTTTCATGGTTTATTTTTGTGCATTTCTAAATGCATTGTCTTGTTACTTTGTCACTTCAAGTCTTTCTTCCAGTAACACATCTTTAGAGGCCGAACTGTTCATACACTTTACAGCTTATTTTCAGTCTTTTCTCATCATTTTGCTTTGACCCCTCTCAAGCTGTTTTCATCCATAGGATTGTTTATTGCTGGTAGGTTCTGGCACCCATATTTCTACATTCCTAAAATATTTATGTCAAAACAGATGAGATGTCACCTGCTGGGCAGGATGCTAGAGTCACTGTGCTGAGCCATAATCATTCTGAATGTCTGCTGCAGGGTTGACTAAGAGACAAATAAGTGGCTTATTGGCTGTATTAAAAAAAAAAAAAACTGAAATTTAGGATCACAAAGCTCATTTTGATTTCTTTCATCCCTTAAAAACTTAAAGTTCTGAATTCCTTTATGCACAGTGCAGAGGTCAGATTATTGCATGGAACAGTTAAAAACATCAACAACAGAAAACAGTGAGACCCTTAGACATCATGTCCATACTGGAAGAGTCTGTATCTTAGAGGATGAGCCTAAATGTGGATGTCAGGGCAGTGGATGGGCATGCACAGCATCTCATCTTAATGTGTTACAGACCTGTAATTAGCACGTACCTTTTCTCTGAACAGTAGCCACCATTTTTGTGGTTGGTGTTTGGCCTCACTTTGACATTCCTGACAACCTCATCTCATCTCATTTTCTATACTGCTTAGTCCCAAACGGGGTCACCGGGCTGGGGCCAATCCCAGCCGGCATTGGGCGGACACACAGTAATAGGCACTGTCAGTCTCCCTGACAACCCTTTACTATAATCATAGTTTGTTTGCGAATAGCCACAACCTCCCTGAACTATATCCTAGTCGCAGTCGGGGGCTTTGCTGGTATCTGGTGGTGGGTGGGACATAAACTGAATTCTCCTCTTATTCAGTTTGCTGTGTCTTACCTGAAACACCTTGGGACTAAATCCTGGGACTAAATTAATTTTGTTCTTACTTTGATTCCTACTGTCAAGCTGCAAAGACATAAAGGAGTGTTGCATCTGGTCCTGTGAGCCTCATGAAAATCTAATTATCATCCACTGGAGGAAAGCACAAACTGTTGGTGCTACAGATCCGTTGTTAAGCAGAGATGGTTTTGATCATTAGGCATGCTGAGGGGGACTCTTGTGCCAGATGTGCTGTGCCTCTAGTTCAACAGACAGACCTGAACATTAACTCACACAGTGACAGCGTCGCTTTATTGCTCATCACGGAGCCTAATCGCCTCTGCTGTCCTGGAAAACTCTCTGGGAGCTTCTGTAAGAAAGATAGTGAGTTCCCATTAATATTCAGGTGAAAGTATGCTTCTGCCTCACTTGTGAGGTGAAAACAGCACAGGACTACAACAGTTCACAGGAGTGAAGCCGGTAGCAGAATGGATAGTGGTTCCCTGTTACTGAATTTAAAATACAGTTTTAATGCTAAGAGACTCTTGTACTTTAAAATGCTGGGACTGTTAACGGATTCTTTATGCAGCACTGTCTTACTGACAGGTGGACTGGACCATCAGCGGGTACATTTCATTAGATTTTGTTCCATAATCAAACATTTGTACTCCATGATAATGAGATAAAACATCACAGCCAGCTGAAGCTGACTGATGTCGTGCTGTCTTTCTCTTACGATCAGTTCTAGATCAAGATATACTTTATTTGTCCCCATAGGCAAATTTGGCTTAGGCTCTGCATAATCATAATACATAGAACCAAGACAAAACCTGCAACTACAATAGAAAGGACCACGGCACAACCAACAGGCAAAACATCAAAACAAAGACTAACAACTGCAATGAATCCTGCAGTAGTCTCTTACATAATCAGCTCAAAGTATTTTGTCCAAACTTGCCTTTTAAAATAACAAGAGCTGTTGTGACCAGTGGCCACACAACTAGTCACAGTGTCACCAGCACCACCTCTTTCACAAAGTGATGGTGACAAATACCCAAGAAATAACTTATTTTTAAACAGGTTTTTTCTTCAAGCATCTAAAACCTGATGCTCCCTGTTTCAAAGAGGTGCTAACTGCTGCTGTTCACAGTAAACATCCAGTAATAAAACCAAGGACCGAGTATGTGCTGACGTCCATGTAAAACCCATAGTTTATATTATTTTAACACTGTCCTCAGAAGATTTATGCCCCCAAAGTGATTGCTAGGTAGAACTGGAATAAGTCTTCATGTATTCAGCATCTCATTACAAATAATAAAAGTTTAATAAGTCAAATATGAAACGGTCTCAGGTTGTGTTACGGCCATTCTGCTGGTACTTTTCATCTGATCCCTCAGTGTGCAGCCGCTGCACCTGGCATGGGGTCGAAGGGCGATACAGAAGTTCAAAGCCAAGCGGGAAGTTAGTCTTTGCCAAATGTCTGCTGGTTCTCCTCATAAAAAGACCACCTGGCACAAGTTGAAGCAGTCGCCCTGGGCAGGACAGAAGGACAAGATCGTGCTGAGCAGTGAGACTCAACCAGACACAGGCGGCAGTGTGACCACAGTCTGAAGGCAGTCACCTAAATATCAAACTCAATTCACTTCCTAATTCATGCTCACCCTTCTTTTTCATGTTTTAATATTGAGCCACTGGATCAGGTGATGTCTGTTTTTGGAATGAATCTCCTGCGGAAAGGGGTTGCCTGCTCTGATGTCATTAATGCAGTAAAAATAGCTGCTACTGATCAGATCAGAAGAAAAAGATCATGAGAGTTAAATCCAGATTTTGAGTCACCTGTTCAGACCCGACACACAGTAATAGGCACTGTCATTATGGACATGTTTACTTATAGTACTGCAAATAAGAATATATAGTAGATGTGGATAAAAAGTTGGATTCATTTCACTGAGGTATTTAGATTTGAAACGAATAAAGTGCAGAACACGAACATCACTGCCCTGATGATGGCAGTTTTCTCAGTGCAGCAACAACGTCACCTGTTTGCTCTAGAAATATGAAAGGTTAAAATGATTTCTTCCAATTGGCACTGAAACGCTGGTCTCTGATTGGCTACTGGGTAGTGCAGACAGCAGTGCCTTACAAAGAGCCCTACTTTGCTTGTTACAACAGCTCTGAAGGAGTTAAAAGTAGCTCACAAGAGCAAAATTAAAACTAGGTCAGCTGTTAAAAGAAGATCCAAGTACACACGTTGCCCACAGGTGGATGCCAGCAGCACAATAGTAGAAACCGGCAGCCAGGAGCCAATGAGCAGAGTCAACGCATCCAGCAGTGGCGGCTGACTGAGGTCACCACGTACACAAACACTGACTGACAACAGCTGAGTCATCCACCCACACCGAGCGTGTTCACACAAACAGGGAAAACCTGCAGAAGAGCTAGAGAGACAAGGAGGCCCCCCACCCCCTGGGGCAGAAGTAGCAGTAGTAAGGCAAGGCATGTTTATTTATATAGCACATTTTCACACACAAAGGCAATTTAAACTTAACACAAATAGATAAAACAAATGCATACATGACATCACAGAAGCAACATACAAGTGTAGGTAGTACTCTTGGGTTAACTGTGGATTCTCACTGTTCTCATTATACTTTGTACCTCTCTTTCTCAGTCCTCCCAAAACTAACCTCTGTGTATTTTAACATCACAGGCAGGCGCACTTTCTTCTGGAAATTTGACACACCGGTGTGTATACGGTCAGCTACACAGTCCCAAAGTTACAATATGGAGAAAATGAATGACAGTGTTGGGTAAATAATGAGCATCTTCAGATGTGATGTTAAAGGACAGTCTGACTGAGTGATGATGATGGAAGTGAACCGTTTTTTTACAAATATGTACAATGTGCACGTTCTGGGGTGTCTCACCTTTCCCTAGCAAACACACAAACTGAGATGATCACATGACCTCTTCATGTGATCATCTCAGTTTGGCAGGTCAGGTTGTATTCATGGATGAATTATTGGACAATGGGCCCCTGAGCACAGACGTCTAAGAGCAAGACCCACAGTTGGTTGTTTTTGTCTTTGTAGTTGTGCCTGTTAGCCAGTTTATGTTCATTTTTACTCAGTTTGCTGCTAGTTTTACTTGTATCGTGTCTATTTTTAGTAGATTTCCATCTCTCTGTAGATGTTGGGTCTCTCTATTTGTTGTTTAGCATATTTTTGTAGTGCTCCTGCCATCTCTAGTCTTGTTTTCTGTCTCTCCTTATCCATGTCTTCAGTCTTGGCATCTCTTTGTAGCTGTTGTTTTCATTTGGTGGCTTTTTCAAGTTGCATGGTTGACTTTCCAACAGAAAGGCTAACAATCCCTTCATGGTTCTCTGGCCTAGGGGCCCCCTGACCCCTTGGGCCTCTGGGCCTGTGCCTGGTAGGATCAGTGATCCATCCATGCCTGTAATCCTGTTGATCCAGTGAATGCAGTTTGACTAAGTCTGCGCTATCCTCTCTCTCTGCAGACAGACTGGGACGCAGAGGGTCAACACTAGAACTAACCAGTGTTTCTAAATAAACAATAGCAATGTGATGTGGACTCAGAAGTCCTCTGACAGAGAACTAAAAGTCACAGTTCACAGAGAGCTAATCAGTGGTGGGATTTTTGCTGTGTTCATGCATTTTATTGGTCAAATTACAGAGCAGGCACCAGTTTGAAGAGGATACTGTGGATGTGATAGAGGGACTCAAAATTCATCAAGCGAATTTCATTTCACTGGCAGATAATCAATACGGCCCAGTGTCCTATTAACCTGTGGAATATCCATGAAGGGTTGGAGGAGCCGATGAAGGCTGACCTTCTCTGGCACCATTACACAGATATCCTCCAGATGACGTGGTGGACTATGAGCCACGGGGCTGGTTTTTATAATGAAACTCTGACAAGGCGCAAGAATAATTTTAAAGTTTTAATTATTTAAAATTGAGGATTATTGACAATAGACTGGCGACCTGTCCGGGTTGTACCCCGACTCTCGCCTTATGTCAGCTGGGATTGGTCTCAGCCCCCTGCACCCATGACCCTGTTCAGGACAAGTGGTATAGGTGATGGACGAATGGACTATTAACAACTAGTCCAATTATGTGTGTGTAGCCTGGGGTTTATTTTCTACTACACCTTACAAGTGTAATTTCTCTGCACGTCTGCTGGTCTTGCATGGTTTGTCACAAGTGTTTCTGTCTGAAAGAAGCAGCAATATTTATTTTGTATCTTTGAGTCTTGTATGTTTAATGCTTTGTCGTTCTGTTACTTTGTAGTGGTGGTACAGATGTGTCAAAGTGCTGGTGCCCTTACACTTCACTGAGATAACACGCTGCTCTTCCTGAAAAGTGTTGAAAATCAAAGCTCCTTTCACATGCATAGTGGCAGCATAAGTGGATTGTAGGGATTTATGATTTATGAGCACTGCCACGTGTACACACTGAAGACAACAGGCACTTTTGGACCTGAGGAACTTTTCATAGTTCATAAAACTGCTGGACAAAGCACGCCGCTATGTGTGTCTGCCCTGCAGGGACTGAGAACGTTAATAGTTTTTCTCCAAGCACATGAGTGATGAACATGTATGTTGACTGCAGCAGCATTGTCATTTTTTACAAACCGTGTTACCTGCCAGCAGAAGCCTCTACACAGGGTTAGTGGCTCCTTATAGAATTAACCTTAGCAGTATATTAACCATAAATCATGGTTAGCTTGTTGGCTAATCTCTAACACTCAACTGTCTTAGTGTTATGTTACTTCAGTGTTCCGACTGTCAGTACAATACAAACAGGAAAAAGCTGGTTGAAACAGCGGATACAGAAAGAAACCATGCTGTACAGAGAGCAGCTTCACTGGTGGACAAGGTGAAGTGTTGAGAATAAGGACGATGGGGAGTGTGTAGTGAAAGTGAATCCACTTCCTGATGCTCAGCTCACCTAAGGGTTGCTGAGGATTAGGATGTGACATGATAGACAGAGAGTGACCTTGTAGGTTTTGGGGAGACAAAATGACTTTTCCCCACCATGCTGCCTGTGACGATGAGACAGGAGTCACAAGAGAGCTTAATTCAACCTGCGGGATGGAGGGAGGGGAGGGAGGATGCAGAGAATAGACGAGTGGAGAGGTGGAATCAAGCGTTTGTCTGGCTCGGGTCATATCTGATTAAATATATGAGTCCAGTATGAGGGGTAATTTTCATCAGGCAGTCAGATAAGCCAGAGTCGCACAGACTGAGACTCTGATATTCAGAAGGACTCCATCAAAGGCGTGTCCTCCGCTGCTGTTACAATCCTGCTGATTAGCACAGGAGCAGAGAGGATGCTCTTGTCATACTTCTCTTCCTAGACCCCTTTTCCTTTTCCTTCCACTCTCCCTGGGCTCTCTCTCTCTCTCTCTCTCTCTCTCTCACTGTTCACCTTACAGAGCCTGGCAGGTTTCAGGAGAAAAACATTTTAGTCTTTCCCTCAGACTAAAAACAATTCTGTTAAATTGCTTTGTGTCGCTGTATCCTTCTCAGTTTAGTGACTTATAACTTAATTATTCAGCTCAAATTAAGAACTTGCATGCTATCAGACTATATTTCAGATCGCTGGATCCTTTGGTGATTTTTTTTTCACTGATAAGCAGTTAATTAATTAACCAAACTCTTAACCAATCTGAGCTTTGTAGGTGGGATTAAGCTGTGCCAGTAAAATCATGAATGATAAACTGTGAAAAACCATGAAAATGATGAATAGATGTACAAGTTGATATATTTCACGGTACAGAAAAAAGTGATATGAGTGGGTCCATGTTGACAGGAATGTTAGATCTTTGTTGATGCTGAGATTGTTAAAAATGTCCTCTTCAGGTCTGGCAGCTGAACCTCTGAAGGCCACAATGGCCTCCGCTGTGACTCACCGCTGCTCTGATTGATTTAAGGTCAGTGAGTCCAATACATTTCCTCTGAGCTGATCTTTGAATGACTGATGTGATCTTAATTGAGTCTAGTTCATCTTCTCAGGAAAGGAGAAGGAAGGGAGACACACAAGCAAGGTGCACAGAGGTGAAGGGGCGATCGGCGATAACTGACTCAAAATACTAGTGTGTTCAGGTAGCTCTCTAGTGGTTCACTAGCCTCAGTGTTTATGGACCAAATGTGGAAAAAAATTCAATTTTTCTCCCTTATATGTGTTGGGAAACACCCTTTTTCTTCCACTGCGAGACACCAAAACACATCAAATCCTTATTTCACACTAGTGCTGTCACTTGACAGCAGAATTAAACGGATGAGTGAATGACACCTGTGAGATCCACGGTTCTAACACACAACACATCACATCTTAACTCTGCAGCTACACTGAAGTGATC